TTTTTTTATCTCGCTGTAGGCTTCCAAATCATTATTTTACTTGGTAGGACAAATGACCAGCCAACACAAAAATTGGTCGGACATTTATCACGTTTTCTCAGGCGATGGACAAAGGAACGTTTTCATGCAGTAATTTGAAACTACGAGTTGGAACAAGAAAGTGACTCTAACATTCTTTTGTCCCATCTCATACCATCAGTCCAATCGTGTTTCATGCCGACTGAGAATGTATCATTTTACTGTGTAGGAATACACCCTTTCGATAATTACATCACACATACTGTTTGGTCTTGGAGCCTCGCTCTCGTTAGTAAATTACGCAAGGTGATTGGCTAACGATTCATGAGAGCGAAGCTCCCAGGTCAAATAACGTAATTATCGAAAGGGTGTATTGACTTTGGTTATCTTTGTTTGTGTGTTTATACAGAAATCTGCAGCAAGTTCTAGATCACCCAGAAGATGACGTCGAGAGCACATATTGTCTCAACTTTCAAGTACGACATTGACCACATTTTTATTAGCTTTTTTTTCATATAAATTTACTGGCAGTGTAAATCACCAAGGCTAGAAGGGTGCACACCACATGCCCCTCTCCCCCCCCCCCCCCAGTAAATCCATCACGGGTTGTTTGGTGTGCACTGAAACAAATTTAAGAAGTGTTTAGTAAGTTTTAGTCTGTTATTTGAAGGTGAACGAGGAATATTACGGTGTTGTCAGTGCGGAAAATTTAATTCCTGATGGAGAACATGTGCCAGTGACTGGAAAAAATAGGTGAGTAGCGATCTATTTTAGAAATCTTTATCTACAAAAACCCCATCGACATACGGTATCACCTTACTATATACAGCTAATTCAAAAAAGGGATGTAACTCTAAACCTTAAACCTTAAACTCTAAGCGTGCAAAGCATAATGGGGGCATCATTTAATCAGTTTAGAAATCATATATGGGGCCCAATTCTTAGAGACATGATAAGTATCTCCTTACGAGAACAATTCATTCACAAATACTCTGCAATACTCAACTATTAAGCTTGAAACTTGTGCTCTCATTAAGCTTTGCGCGCTTAGAGGTTAAGATTTAATGTTTAAAGTTTGCAAAGGATAACCTTTTTTGAATTGGCTGTATACAAAGACGTCTGGTTTATGTTCGGCATCTGGACTACGTAGCTCAGTTGCACCAGAACCGCAGGGCCACAGGTTTGATTCCTACCAGAGCAGGCCCGTAACTATAGCTATGAGTCAACCGAGTCAGTTGACTCGGTGAGATTTTTTTGTGAAAAAAATTCAAAACAGGAAGACTTCAAGTTTAGAGAAAACAGATCCTGAATGAAATTGATTCAATTTCTGATGAAGGGTAGAAGTACGAATTAGCGTCCCAAAATATTACCACAAACATGTTTTTTACTATGCACCTGATCATGTAGGACCAAGAGTACTTGAATTCTTATGATTGGATATACTTTTAGTACAATTGTGAGACACACTATGAAATTATAGTCATTGTGTCACTGTTTATGGGAATGATTTTTTTCTTAAAACTGCTCCCAGAATGCAGGAAGATTATGAAATTATAGTCATTGTGTCACTGTTTATGAGATTGATTTTTTCTTAAAACTGCTCCCAGAATGCCAGGAAGACTATGAAATTATAGTCATTGTGTCACTGTTTATCATTACTGATTTTTTAATTAAAATTGCTCCCAGAATGCAGGAAATAGCGTTTCTAAGCCTTAGAAAATCAAACATTTTCTGGGGGAGCATGCCCCGACGACTCGACTCGGTAAATCTAAAATCCTAGTTACAGGCCTGCCAGAGAGCCTATAGTTGAATTTTTCACAGCTACTTCTGGTTAGGTCTAAATTGTATACAATCTTCATCTTGAAATTTCCATCCCAGTATTGCGTCAGAGTATACCAGCGAAATTTCAACATGCTGTCATGACTTTCTACTCTCAATTTTTCTTCAGAGGTCGATATGTGGACCTGTACATCGACTACATTGTCAATAAATCTGTGGAAAAGCACTTCACGGCTTTCTCGAGCGGCTTTCATCGCGTTTGTGGTGGGCGTGTTCTGGTATGTACGTGGTTGAACTCATCTTTTAAATCCGACTACGAGGACTGGACTAGATTTCAAGACCACACAATGCGAAGGCGAGGCCGAGAACTGGATCAAAATGCGAGCACTTGAAACTTAGGCCTCGTTTACACTATACCGGATTGCTATCGGAGTGGGTCAAATTTTGTAGGTATTGAAAGGCTGTGAAGATTTTTAATCTCAGAGACCCAAATAAACATGCCAATTCTGTCAAACTAATAAGCATTTGCTACTTACTAAACATTGCTCCGTAACGGCAAAAGAAGATGTCGTGACCAGCGAATCCGGTATAGTGTAAACAGGGCCTTAGTCCAGTCTGTTGTATTGGAGGATTTAAAATGATATCTCGTACGAATAAATCACTACTTCAAGCGAGGCGAATTAATTTTGATTTAGTCCAAGGACTGAATTAATTTTGATCTAGTCCTAGGATTGGATCAATATACTTCACCAAGTATCCAGTATTATCATGTGAGCAGAATAAAACAATATGGTTGGCTAAGTTAGAGATTAAGCATTCTTCTGAGGAGGATTTCTTAATTAGTTCCTAAAATTCTGAACAACAGGACAGCATTTAGTATTGCCAGTGTAGGTATAGTGCCAATAATATGAACAAGCTTTCGTTGATAGAGATGCAACTACCTGAAAAATATAAGGAGAATTTCGACGTTTTGAGCGAAGGCCCTTCGTCGTTTGTCAAGGTAATCTTTTGGTTGTTAGACAGATAGCTGTGAGATTAAACTTTTTTCTCTTATTTTAGGAATTTTTTCATCCACAAGAACTGATGGAAATGGTCGTGGGAATACAAGACTACGACTTTAATGAACTGCGGAAGGTAGAAATACAATAGTACCAGAATTTAAGTTAAAATATTAATGCTCAGCAAATAATTCGTAAAAGAGGCATATTCAAAAAACATTTCATATATAAAAAATTTTATTGAGTAACGTTTCGTCACATTACAGGCGACATAATTAGACTAAATACAGTTAAGCTATTTCATCTGTTTTATAACAAATTTAAAAAAAATATATGATATACAATTACAAACGGTTAAAATTAGAAAGATACATTGTTCATGGTATATTCACATTTGTTATAAAGATAGCCTTAGCAAGATTGTTTCTTTGCTTCTTATAGGGTGCTGAATATCTTGGCGAATATTTCCCCAATCATCCTGTCATTCAGAATTTCTGGATTGTGTTTAACGAATTTGAAATGACGAATAAGAAGAAATTTCTGGGTAACTTTTGTTCATTTTAATATTTTTTCCCCAACAGTGAAATAATCCTGAAGTATTTTTTCTGGATTTTATATTTCGTATAGTTTTCCTAACGGGAACCGATCGAGTACCTATAACAGGAATACGAAGCTTAAAGGCAAGTCATTTTTGTTGTCTCCAACTGCAGGTTTATATCATCAAAATGTTGGGGGGTTTTAGCAAAGTACGGTATTTTTGAAAGTTTATGAAGTGTAAACCTCACAAACACATTGTTGTGGAAATATTTGAAAATTTTTAATATTTCTTGTTTGCCTATATACCCCCCATAATCATTGTTGCGGAAATAAGAATTCCTGGTTTGCCCTCCTTCAAAAAACATGGCCAGGAAACAATGTTTCGTGGTTTTGTCCACCTTTGGGAAAAATGGCTAGGACATAATGTTCCCTGGTTTGTTCACCTCCAGGGAACTGGCTATAGGAAACAATGTGTCATGATTTGCCCACTTTCGGGAAACTTGACTGGGAAACAATGTTTTACGGTTTGTCCGCCTTCAGGAAACATGGCTAGGAAACAATGTTTCCTGGTTTGACCACCACTGCCACTGGGAAACATGACTAGTAAACAAGGTTTCCTGGTTTGCCACCTTCGGCAAAATTGGCTAGGAAACAATGTTTAATTTCCTGGTCAAGCCCAAGCTTCGCCCTTGGGATATTTCATCCCTCAGTGAAGGGTTCATAACTGATAAAAATGTTACGTTTCATACAATATAGATAAAGATCCAGCCAGTTTCAGGCGGAGTCAATAACGAACATTTACCAGTAGCACACACGTGTTTCAACTTACTCGACTTACCACGCTACCCGACCAAGGAAATGATGAAACAAAAAGTGGAGCAGGCCATTAGTTATTCATCTGGCTTTGGATTGGCGTAATATGGAGCATGTATTTTACCTCTGATCTCATAGCTAAGACTGGATGAAGCCGTTTTTGAAGCCACAATTAGAGACCTTACGATGTAGGACGGCTACGCAACGACGACGGCCAGAATAATGTCATTCAAATAAACGATTGCAGAGATTATATATCGTATCAATTTAATACTGTTTGGTTAGCTTGAAATAGCGGCTTTATTGTTGAGAAAGTTCTACTGTTGTACTGAGCTAATTTGCTGAGTATCACTTCTCGCGTCTTGAAATGCAGGCGTTTTATCCAAGGCGTAAAAGTCTGTAGTTACCCGTTGTAAACAGACCGTGGATGACGTCTCAAACTCCCGTGGGATATTAATTATTCATTTTTTTCTTAAATATTATGAATCTCATTGTATGAATAGCCGTCGTCGTCGCGTTTCCGTCCCGCATCGTCTCTAATAGAGACCTTACGATAGAGCTAATAACCTCTTCTGACGCGCCAGAAACACAGCAGTCAGGGGCGTAGGAACCGGGGGGGGGGGGCAGGGGGGCCAGGCCCCCCCCCACCA